GTGACATACACTAATGCCATCTACCATCAGATCCAAGTATCACTATCGTCTCTATGGTATCTATAGACAATTAATTTGTTGTGTTTCTTTTTAATTCATGGCTTTCCCAACTTTGCAAAAATTATTATTTTCTTTCTAAAACAACATACTAATTTTCGTTAGTTTCCTTATGAAGAACTGTAAAATATATACTGAATGAGTGTTTTTGATAGTCTCAATAGCAATTTCTATAACCTATGTCGTTTTTCCCTTGAATCTAACCTAACATACTAAAATGTCTCACCAGTTTTAAGAATTAGTGGTATCACCCCTGTCCGTCTTTCCCAGAAAGTAGTCAGCTTAGTGGTTTGCACTTTAATGTGCAAAAAAGTTCCTCGAGATGGCGCAGTACTCACTACTCGTCAGCAATATTCGTTACCTCATTCATTATTGTATTTGTTGTGTTGAAATCGGTTAGAAATCTCAACTAAATTTTATAAAAAAATGTGAAAGTAAAAAAAGTATTAACATTAAAAACTATTTTAATGTTGTAAAAAGAGCATATTGTTTAAAAAGTGAAAATGTTTTTAATAAGTAGCCGGCAAAGCTTGCCTTAGTTTAAAAATTTTAAAAAAAGTTTAAAACTTTTAAATTAAATTTTAAATTTAAATTTATTTATAATTATTTATTTAATTAATTTTTTTTTTTTTTTTTAATTAAATTAAATTTGAGTCTAAATAATAACCATTACAATAGAGACAAGGTGTATTTTCCACTTTACCATCGCGCAATTGATGATTTAACCTGACAAGCTTTTTCTTTTTGGTCACTCTTATTTTATTCAGTCTTCATTTAAGTAGTTTTTTTTAACTTATCTTATTTCTCTTTTCTTTTGCTTCATTTGTGTACCCCGTTTTGCCCCACTTTCTCATATCCCATCTTTCCCGTACCTACGAAATTGAATAAAACGATTAATTACTACAATTTACGATTCAACAAAGAAAAAAAACATATGCTTCCCTTCTTCTGTAACCCTTGCCAGTTATAAATAATTTTATATAGTTCATTAACTGTTATTATTAAATAATAAACACCTCCTAAAAAAGTGAAAAAATCACAAGAAAATCGTCAAAAATAGTTTTTTTAGTAAAACTGATAAAATATTTCTTCTCATGGCTTTTAGGTTTTGTAAACAAGAAACTATCATCTCGGTGCAGTATTATGTAAAATATAATCGCGATTGGTTAATTCGTTTGTTAAATAGGGCCGGTACCCCGTCTTGCTTTACTCTCCCCTACTGTAAAAGTTCAAAAAAATTTAAACTGAACGTTTAATGTAAATTGAATAAATACCTCCTTTATGGGCACTAACGTTTCAGAAATAGTTCGGTAAAACTTTCTTGACTTGCCTAAAGTGTTAGTTTTCTGGATTGAAATACTTTATTTCAAGTGTCTCGCAGTCAAATGAAAGACTTTCACACTAATAGTTGATTTTTCCAACTTATTTAGACTTAATTAATAATAATTTTATTATTATTTAAATTAAAATTCAATTAATTAATTATTTTAATCACTTATTAATTGCCAAATATGTAATAAATGCTTTTAAATTATATAAAAAGAAAATATAAAAGAGCAATAACATACAGGGAAAAAAATTTCCTGTGAAAATTACAAGATTTCCTGTGCCATCTATGAACGGCGGTTGTAGTATCCACAAACGGCTGAGTTTGGGAAATACACAAACCAGAATGAGTCTTGTCACAAACTTCAGTTTATGATTCAACAGCTTAAACAGTCACGCAGAAGACGACAAGCAGACGTTCACTTGAATTTTCTTGCGCATGCGTGGATTTCTTGGTGTTATAACAGATTGGTTTGTGGTACACACAAACCAGCTTGTTGGAAACACAAAACTCGCCTGCATAAAGCACAACTTAACCTATTTGTATATTTTACGAAAAAGTTTGTGTTTTCTATAAGAAATTTTTTTCCGTGTACTTATTTTTTTAACATAATTTATTCATTGTAATTAAATATGAATAATAGTAAGTAAGTAAGCAAACAAGCAAGCAAGTAACTAACTGAGCAAGTAAACATAAGTAAGTAAGCAAAAAGAAAATAAATAAGTAAGCAATTAAACATAAGTAAGTAATTAAGTATGTAAGTAAGTAAATAAGTATGTATAGGTAAGACAGTAAGCAAGTAAGCAAAAAGGAAGTAACTTGCTTGCTTACTAGCTTACTTCCTTATTTGCATACTTACTTGCTTATTTCCTTCTTGCTTACTTTCTTACCTACTTATTTGCTTACTTGCTTGTTTCCTTCTTTCTTACTTGCTTATTTCCTTCCTGCATACTTCCTGCCTTATTTGCTTACTTCCTAATTTCCTTCTTGCTTACTTACTCACGGAAAAAAATTTCTTATAGAAAACACAAACTTTTTCGTAAAATATACAAATAGGTTAAGTTGTGCTTTATGCAGGCGAGTTTTGTGTTTCCAACAAGCTGGTTTGCGTGTACCACAAACCAATCTGTTATAACACCAAGAAATCCACGCATGCGCAAGAAAATTCAAGTGAACGTCTGCTTTTCGTCTGCTGCGTGACTGTTTAGCTGTTGAATCATAAACTGAAGTTTGTGACAAGACTCATTCTGGTTTGTGTATTTCCCAAACTCGGCCGTTTGTGGATACTACAACCGCCGTTCATAGATGGCACAGGAAATCTTGTAATTTTCACAGGAAATTTTTTTCCGTGCTTGTTTCCATCCTGCTTACTTACTTCCTTATTTGCTTACTTTCTTATTTCCTTCTTGATTACTTTCTTATTTGCTTACTTTCTTATTTCCTTTTCGCTTTTTAATACCTCACAATTATTATTTAATATTTCAGAAAGATTAATTTTCTATTAATTAATTTAATAATTTACAACTTGCACATTTTATTCAAAATATGTATATTTTTAATTTTTAACACAAAAATTTAAGAATAATAAGGATTTCCATAAATTATTGTTTTATTCCATTAAATAGGGGTCAGTTTCCCAAAATTATCACTTACTTTAAAGAAATTTCAGTTTTACCAAAGAGTGCAATTTTATGATTTTTAAAAATGTTGGGGAATTGTGGGATACTGCTTAAATTGAGTTCAAAATTAAAAGTAACAATGAAATATATTTATTACATGGTTAGAAATATTAAAAATGTTAAAAATGTTTAATTATTAGTTTAAAATTCGAAAAGAAAAAGTAAGAGAATGAAATTAATCGGAATCACAATTAATTAATTACAAATTTTTAAATAAACAGCTTTATCGCTTGAATCGCAATGAAACGAATTGTTTTTGTTAAATTAATATTGCTATGAGTGATTTTAGTAATATGTACCTCCATTGTGCAATTAAATCGCCAAAAACAATCAATAAATACTTCCCTAAAAAAAGTGGCCCACAATTCCCCAAATGCTTCATTTTACAAAAAGCTTTGTATTATTTATTCATTTTAATGTGACGCAAAGTTTTTTTTTGAAGTCAAAGTACCAATCCCACACAATAATTAAAAAAATATTTTTTATAATTTATTCTTGAAAATACTTGTAAAAACAATAAAAACATGAAGGTCCAAAATAAATATTTGAATGCAATTTTTCAGGTGATTTTTGTTTACGGTTTATAGGTAATTATAAAGCATTGTAAAGTAATGAAATGCTAATGAAAAATTTACTTTGGATGAACAAAAAAAAAAATAAACGAAAAAATTGGATGATTAAACTTATAAATATTATTAAATAATTGAGGTAGCCCACAATTCCCCAATCTCCCCTACAAATTTAAACATTTTTCTTTACAATAATAAAAACAAAATTTAAAAATATTTCATAAATTGACCTTGAATATAGTTAGAAATGATTCATTAACATAAATAATTTTTAATTTTGTACAACGATAGTTTATTAGTTTGAATCTTTCTCACAAGCAGTGAACTAAAATTAAGATTAATATTTATAAGGACAGTTCAAACTTTCTGAAGCATTAATGTAAAGTGTGCGATGTGAGTATTGGCGATTCAAACAGTTCAAGCAGCGCCACTGTTGAAACTAATATAATATGCAGGACAGCTGGTCTATGTTTCTGTTTGTTTACTTAAACTTTGTAATGATTTTAATAAAATAATTTATTTAATTGTATAATATACAGTTTATTTATTAAAATAATTATAAAGTTTAAGTAAACAAACAGAAACATAGACCATCTGTCCTGCATACATTAGTTCCAACAGTGTCGCTGCTTGAACTATTTGAATCGCCAATTAGTGTATGTGTTTAGAATGTACTGTAGGCAGGTGTATCAATTAGTATTTGTTCGTAAACAATTGTAGGGGGTTTATGTAGAGATTGAAGTAGATAAATTGAGAGTTACGGCAGTATTAATATAGATCTACTGAAGTAACATTATTTTTTATTTTTGTTCTTCAAGTTTTACCGAACATTCAGTAAATTGCAACTGATTCCATTTTACCGAAGACTTTATCTTACGTTTTACCGAACTATTCAATAAATTGCAACTCGTCAGTTTTACCGAAGACTTTATCTTACGTTTTACCGAACTATTCAATAAATATAAATGTAGCGAGCACTTAGCTTACGTTTTACCGAACTGTAAGTGAAGCGCTAATACATGTATCATAAGGTTTATGATTTTTACATTATTTTTCAATGCAATTTCTTTTATAATCTAGTTCTTGAAAAATTACTGTTTCGACAGTTTATCCCAGTTTTACCAAACTAAATTCAGTAAAATTTCAGGAATAAATTTTCTCCGTGTAGATAGTCTGTGTAAGTAGTAAAAACTAGTTTATGTCAGACAGGTATTAATGATTTTTAATAATAAAAAATTAAATAATAAAAATAATAGATTAATAGATTCGTTAAAGAATAAAATTAAGGTGAATTTGCAATTTTAAAAATATCAAAATTTGATAAAATTTGAATTATTTTTGAACGAATAGTAATTAATTAGTAGTTACCTGACTAGGACTGCAGACTGAACCAGGAGTTAATGTGCAGGGTGTTTCATCGGTTGGTGGATATCGACGTTGAGGGAAGCAACACGAGTCCTTGCAATCTTCTTCCCATCCACAATCGCACTCCTCTCCATCCTCGACAACTCCATTTCCACATAACGATGCCTGGGGCTCTAAAAATTCACAAAAGAAAGCCGATTTTCAATTTAATTCTTTTTCATGTTCATCAAACTCTTTTCCTATTATAATAGAATAGAAAGAGACTCATCCTCTTGTGTCAAGAACAAGTGGTTTTATTCTAATTGAATATTTATTACAATTTTCTGTTATATTACATATTAAATTTTTTCTAAAAGTAGTTTTCGTTTGAAAATTATTTTTAAACGTTCGTATACAGGTAATTAACTTCTTCTCTTTCTCTCTCTCCCTTGGGTTTAAATATATTTTTATTTTGTTTAAATTTTTCTTTTATAATTTCAAAATTTTTTATTTTTTTATTTTATTTATTACTTGCTGTTTTATTTATTAATTCTAATTTTCTTTTCACTTAATTCTTTTTCATTTAGTAATTTCATTTTTTATTCTTTTATTACTAAAGTTTTAGTGAAAAATTAATTGACTCTAGAAAATTTGTAAAATTAGGAAGACATTTTGGATAATGATTTGGTGATTTAATTTGTGAAGAAAGTGTGTCTCGGGGGACGCATCTTTGACAAGTATATCATTAAATGTCAAATGGGTTTTGGTTAAGCTGGGGGACGAGCGTTAAAGCCAAGTTAACAAGCCAATGGAACAACTATTATCGTCGGCTTTGCATACAGGCGACATCCTCTGTTCTCCAATTCCCTCACAACCTTTGTGCAGATATATACATGCAGATATGTATTATATATATATATATAATATACAACATATACGTATACATATATTTAGTAGTGTACATGGGTTGTATAGGTTGCAAATATATGTGACCTGGTCTATGAAAAGGGGGACCTTACGTGTCAAAAAATCATTTTTTACTTTTTTGTTGATTCGGATAGCGTTTGAAACGCTCTTTAAGATGGTGAAAACCAAAAAATCATAAGTTGATTGGAAGTTTAAAAAAAAGTTTTTAAGTTAAAAGAAACAAGAGTAAAAATACGAAAAAACTGCCCAATGGGAAAAAACCATTGGCGCATTAATGGCCCAATAATGGGAGCCACTATTCCATTATTGTCCCATTTTTGGCACCCAATAATGGACCACTAATGGTAAAATCGTGGGATGTCCACGCCGGTAAGTAATTGTATGTAGTTCGCTCAACGCTCCGTAGGAGGTGTTGTTTCAAACTCTTTCGCAACTAACATGAAATTTGAAAAGTATATAAGGAGGCAGCATTCTCACGAATATTTGTGGAATTTTATTCTGCCCGTCCTCTCCTATTTTTGCACTGATGGATGTGAGGTAAATAATTTTTAGACTCTGAACGAAAGGGTTATTCACATTTCGATGTGATAGAAAATAATAACCATTTCTATAAAATAATTAATTAAAAAAATTATTATTTTTAATAATAATAAATAATAATAATAATAATAAATAAAATAATTATTAAATAAATAAATTTATTATTTAATAAAATTTAATAAAAATTTTTTTTATTATTATTGGTTTTATAATGGCAGCCAATAATGTGCCAATAACGGTTGCCAATTATTGGCATCGGCGTGGACATCCCACGATTTTACCATTAGTGGTCCATTATTGGGTGCCAATAATAAACCTAAAGAAAACCAATGGCTTCCAATATTGGTCCATTAATGCACCAATGGTAGACTAATGGCTATTTCCCATTGGGTGATTTTTCGTTATTATACAAATTAAAATAACGAAGACGATAATTTTTTATTATTTAGAAAAGTTGACAGTTTCTTTGACAACTGTCAGCAGTTAAAATTCAAATTTGATATCATATTCGTAATCAGCGACCTCAGAAACCTTATTACTGTCTTTTTTACAAAAAACGATCACTTTTTAGAGAAGTTGACAGCTGTCAACTGTCAAATTGTCAATTTAACATCATATTCGTAATCGGCGGCCTCGAAAACCCTTACAAACATGTGTCACTTATTTATACTTATTTTTGCAAGTTAGAAAACTTAGATTATTTTTTCTATATTTGGGGAGTTTGTTATTAATTTATATAAACAATTATTAAAAAAAAATTTTCATTACTTGTTTGTTATTTATTTAGATACTGTGATTCACGGTGAAGAAAATAAGCCTAAATTTATTAAAAAATATTAATATTTAAAAAAGTTACAAGGGTTTTTCTAAGTTAAACTTTAACTGCTGTTTTCTCGAAAACTTGTTTTCGCACGTAAGGTCCCTTTTCACTGTCCAGGTCACATATATGTCATACAGCTAGACCATCACTCAACTAAAACAGAATCGATCTGCTCCAGCTGGGCTCTTGTAGCTTTCGCAAAATGGATGACATTATCGAACTTGACACATAAATATCGTTCCAGTCAACCAACATATTATATAATTATACACACATATAAATAAATAGTTTTTGCCTCAGTAGTGATATAAGAAATTTACAATTTTATTATAATATGGAAATTTCATACATATAGGGGAGCGTGGGGTAATGGGAGCTTTTAAATTTCACGTACTTAGAAGCCTTAAAATTCGCTGCAATGTCTAGAAAATCTTTTACAACCTTTATTTATATCATTCGAAAATAAACGATCACTTTCTTGACAAATTTTTAGTAAACACAAGAGAAAATGTATTTTTTGAGTTTTTGTTATTAAATGCAAAATATTTACAAACATCACAATAAGTAGTTAAAATCGTATTATTTAGTTATATTTTTTTATTATGTTATATAGATGTATAAAAATCGAGATAATAATAAAATTTGTTTATATTTTTATTTCTTTATACAAATTTTGGCCTGTAAGAATTATGTGGGGTAATGGGAGAATTAGTGTCAGCCCACAGAATGTTCGTTACCATGTTACGGCTTTCGTTACTTCTTTGAAAATTGTAAAAGATATCACCTTATGAAAAAACTGTTAATTAAAAAATAATTTTTAGTGGAAAAAATGTAAAACTTAAATTTTTTATTCAATTATAATTTACACTGAGAAAACATATAGTCAAACTTAGAGGGTTAGGTTTCGGGTGTTAAGCCTGACTCTCTGGAAAGTTAACTTTTCCCTCCGACTTAGTCAAATTGATCATCGGTGTGTCTATTTATTCCTCCGAGAGGGTTACGAAAAAGTTAACCTCAAATATAGTCTGATTGTATATCCCTCCAGATAGTTAGTTGAATACTCCATTTTTCTCCGTGTAGGAAAGAATTTATTCTAAGTCTAAAGTTTTGGCTTTATTGTAAGTATTAACACTTTTTTCTATTAGAAAACTAAAAATATTCCTAAAAAATAAAAAATTTTAAATTTCAAGTGAAAGATCCCAATACGCTACAAATTGGGTGATGGTAGAAAATGAATTTTTTTTTTCAATTTTACTTTCTCTTTTTAAGTTTCTAATTAAACATAATTAAAGATAAATAACGAAATAAGTAGAAAATGACGAAAACAATATATTATTATAAAGATAAGTTGGTTTTTTTTAATAATTTTCCTTAAGGGGCTCTAATTCCCCCACGCTCCCCTAATATTGTTTTGTACATTCATTTATATTTGATATAAAATTAATTCAAAATATCTTATCTTATATTATATTAAAATATTTCCTCCGTCCACAAAATTTTTCGTTCAACGTTTTCAGCAATATGTACACTAAAAAAAAAAATATAATATATGTATATTATATTATTAATCTCCCTATATTACAAAAAGATATCGCCGTTGACGCCGCTGCCGCTGTTTCAAGATTTTGTGACCTAAAGGTCACGAGTTGATCTGTAGCTTATCTGACCTCAAAATTTAGGTCAATTTTAAGGCCAGTTTTAACCTACAGATCAAAAATTGACAAACAATACCCTCTGCCCTCACAATTTAGGTCGATTTTAACGCCAGTTTTGACCTAAACGTGAAAAATTGACAAACAATTTCCTCTGCCCTCAAAATTTAGTTCAAATTTAAGGGAAGTTTTAATTTACAGGTCAAAAATTGACAAACAGTTCCCTCTGCCTTCAAAATTTAGGTCAATTTTAAGGGCAGTTTTAACCTACAGGTCAAAAGTTGACAAACTAATCCCTCTCCCCTCAAAATTTAGGTCAATTTTAAGGGCAGTTTTCATCTACACCGCAAATATTGTCGAGAAAACTCCCCCTGACCTGACATTCCCTCAAAATTTAGGTTAAATTTTACATATTTTTTAACCTACACATCGAAAAAACACATCTATATGTCCTCGACATTCATTCGTGTCACAAAAATCATCGTAAACAAGTTGGGCTGCCTTTTTTTCCATGTTACTTACGATATTTTTTATTCCTAATGCACAAAAGTGGCGATTCCATATAGCAGACGGCAGAGAGTAAAAGTCATTCACTTGTTCGACTTGTATGAACATGTCGTTCATTTTCTGTCGTTCAAAAAAATGAATGACTTTACTCCCGTCGTCAGCTATCTGAAACCGCCATTTTGTGCATGCACGGAAAAAATCGATGATATTTTAACCGACTAATCGAAGACTCTCGGATATGAACAAATAATTATGGAGTTTTGTAAATACTCTTCGATTTTCGCAGAAATTCTCGAAAAAAGTCGAGGATTTTTTAGAAACCTAGTGCGGAAAAAAGTTGCTGAATTATTGTAATACTTTGATAGGAAGTTTCTTCGACGAGTCGAGGAAAATGGTGGTCACAAAAAAGCTCAAACTCTCAAGCGATAAACGTAATGTAACACTGTTTATTCTACCGTTTCCAATGTACTACCTATTTATGACAATTGATTAACAAGACTTTGAATTATTATTAATATTGTTTATTGTGTTGATATAAGCAAATATATTAAACAATTTAAATTTGAAGTTAAGATAAATAAAATAATGACAGTAGTAATATAATAAATAATCGTTAAAATTTTTTAAAAATAAATTAAGGACGTTAAAGATTATTTAACTAAATTTAGACTAAATGTAGTCTATTTCTTCGATAACTCGTAATATAACTTCTAATACACTTTACTCTATATCCAAGAGTCTTTTAAAA